TGGAGTAGGTGTGGCCTTGTTGGAGTAGGTGTGGTCTTGTTGGAGTAGGTGTGGCCTTGTTGGAGTAGGTGTGGCCTTGTTGGAGTAGGTGTGGCCTTGTTGGAGTAGGTGTGGCCTTGTTGAAGTGGGTGTGGCCTTGTTGGAGTGGGTGTGCCACTGGGGGTGGGCTTTGAGGCTTCAGAAGCTCAAGCCAGGCCCAGTGGCTCCCTTTCCTCAGTTCCTTCTCCAGCACTATGCCTGCCTCCAGGCTTCCAGCCATGATAATAGGCTAAACTTCTGAACCTAGAAGCCAGCCCCAACTAAATATTTTCATGCATAAGAGTTGCCATGTGGTTGTGGTGTCTCTTCACAGCAATGGGGCACCGACTAAGACACATTTATTGCAGTCTTAACCCGTCCTAACATGGGACTAATCGCTAAGTATCATGTATGGTACAAACCTTTATGTTCCATCTTATAAATAACCATTTTAAGGCTTGGAGCTGGTGGTTTTTTTGTCCAGCATCTCAGGTCGTAAAAGCCATACTTGAATCTCTATCTGACGATGCCAAAGTTCGAGCCACGGACGCTGAGAGCAGCTGCATCTCACACCGGCGCAGAATTAAGCTGCTTTGACGAACGACAGATGCCAGAGGCGGACTGCAGTTAAGGAGAAACTGAGAAAAGAGTATACGCCGTTAGACATTAGATATTATACAATAGTTATGGTGTTCCTAATGTAAGAAGCCTGTGGGCACTGCCCAAGTGGAAGATGAAAGAAGGGTAAGGAGAAGTCTCATCAGCATCTGCCTGTAAGAAGTCGATCCCTGATCTCTCGATGCTTATTGGTAGGTAGCTGCTTTCCTGTTGTAGTTTCTTGCCAAAACCAAGCATCTTTGCTGATTTAGGGAGAATCACTTATTTCTTTATAAGACCGAAACTCTTACTAAATATCAATCACTCACTGTAGCAAAGCCAAAGCCAGAAGAAGCAGTGTGTCAGTCACTTCGGATCGCCCCAGAATTAAGCCACAAAGCGGGAGGGCTTCGACTGTCTAAACTTCACAGTACCGTGCAAGATACAGACAAACCATCTTATCTAGAAAAGAAGGAAAATGCTCGTGTTCACCCAGCCTCCTCTGTCTGGTTGGCAGTTGCCTGGATCTGGGGGCAGGCTGTCCCTGTTTAGAGCATCTGGTGGGTAGGGACCAGAAGCCACGGCCCTGGCATTCCTTTGGAGGATTTGAAACAAAAATGTAAGCATCTGTCAGAGCCTTCAGTATTGACTCTGTGTCCTTCAAGTCGAGCATTCGACCTGTTCCCACTTAAGCGCACTGACTGAGGAGGCACACTCTCATCTGTATGAAACCCTGCCATCACCAGGAGTGAGACCCAGCGCACTGTCCTTCCTGATAGGAGCTCAGCATCCGAGAAGCTTGGAAAAATTCCTCTGGAATGTTACGTCCTCTCTAGCCAATTACTAACTAGTCATATGTAAAATGTCATATGTGAAAGGTCATATGTGAAAGGCCATTGAGTTGAAGCCCTGACTTGGGTTTCTTGCTCTGGCTGGAGGCTTCTAGTGTGTCATTTCTTCATTTGCAGCACAGTTGGCTTCCATCCAGTTACTTGGGGGATGAGGGTGGAACACACACACACACACACACACACACACACACAAACACACACAAGTATGCAGTGGCTGGAGATTTTATTAAGGAGTTGAGAATAGCGTATTAGCAAGGATGTAGCTTGGATGGTTGTGTAAAGTTAGGAAATGTTGGTTCTAGTTTATCCTCTGGGTTTCTGTTTTTGTTATTTGGTTGTTTTTATTTTTCATCATTTTTGCTTTCTTTCTAGCTGTCTAGCCCAGGCAAGCCTCGAACTTACAGCTTCAGTCTCCAGAGTGCTAGGATCACAAGCTATGCCTGGCCACTTCCTACTTCTTTCTTCAGCACAACCGTCACTGCTCTGTAGCACGTGTGACCACTTCGAGTTAGCCATGGCCGAACCACTAGGAGACACTGCCTGGTTCCGGTGGCATCTTGTAGGTTACTCCATGCTCTGTGACATAGACTCTTTTTTTTTTTTTTTTTTTGAGACGGGTTTCTCTGTGTAGTCCTGGCTGTCCTGGATCTCACTCTGTAGACCAGGCTGGACTCGAACTCAGAAATCTACCTGCCTCTGCCTCCCAAGTGCTGGGATTAAAGGCGTGTGCCACCACCGCCCAGCCGTGACATAGACTCTTGCAAGACCGGTGGAAGAACGAGGTTCTTCCCTGTGGGGTATTTGATTATGAGGCATCTGGCGAGGGCCGGGGAGGCTGTTAGATGAGGAGCTGCAGTTGTACAAATTAAATTAATCTTGTGTTCTAAAAAAAACCCAAGGCATTAGAGCCATAGCCAGCCATGCCTGGCTCTGCTGCCCAAGAGTTGCTTATGTTTGTTTATATTTTCCAAACTCTGACCTCAAACACATTAATTTAGCAGAGTAGTTACAGCAGGCAAGTAAGCTCATGCAACTGGTCAGGTCCCCTACACGCCTGGCTGGTGTAAATGTTTGCCAGTGTGCCACTGTCCCGTGGGAGAATTGGCCCATGATTCGGGGGAGGTGATTATTTCCACCAGGCTGTTTTCCCTTAAAATCAAGCAATGCTTAAAAACAAACAAACAAACAAACAAACAAACCAAGTAAGATTGTTGTGACTAAGTCCATGATGAAAAGGCATCGAGGGACATCGTGGGGGATATATGATTTAAATATCAGCGGCTAAGTTACAGATCTCACGGGATAGTGGTCTGAGGATAGCACCTTTCTTCTTTGCAGAGCCATCATCAAAGGTATGGCCCACAACTGCAAGGCCCAGAAAGGATAATCTGGCAAGCCAGTTAAGCCTCAGGTCGAATTTCTATGTGAGCCTTTACCTCCCATACCTGAGGTAACCTGAGTGCCTGACAGATATTTAAAACCATAAGGACTCAAGGGACATCCTCTTTGAAGGGGTGTGTGTGTGTGTGTGTGTGTGTGTGTGTGCAGAAAACAGACTGTTAACATGGCAAAAACATGCATATACTCTGTGGATTGGGGCTCGAATTCCAACACCACCTCTCTCCTCCTGGGGTAGGCTCTGTGTCTGTGTCTTTATAACTGGAGGACAGGCAGACATACTAACTTTGCAGGTATTTGTCAGGATTCAAATGAGGCGGGAACACAGGGCGCTTTGTGGTGGCGTTGCCTCGCCGCTGCACAGAAATATCTTAAGCTTAGCCACAATTGCTACAATCCTCCGAAACACGCTCGTTTCCCTTTATGTAGAGTTCTCATCTAAAGTTTGTAAGTGGCTGCACTCATTTTAATTTTGTTTTAAACATTTAGATCACGGGGAAAGGACTGTGCTGGGCGTTGCTGGGAAAAGAGGAGAAAAATGGCTGCCTATGTAATACAAGCTTCAGCATGGAGGGCCGGGGTGGGGGGAGGGGGAAGGACGGAGGATGAGAATGGGGATACTCCAGTTTTCCGGTTCCTGTCCACTGTGCGTTCCAGGTACATAGCTGGCTAGTAATACTAATGGGCCTTTACAACTCTCTACTCTATCACAGCTCACCCACTCTGAGTTTCCTTAGGCCATCTGCCCAGAGCTCCACCATCGCCGCTAATACATGAAGTGAAATCTGCCCATCTATCTGTTGGGTGTAATTCATGGGATGTTTTAGAATCGGCCGATTGCACATCCACTGTGTTTTGGCTCGTGGGGCCTTCATACTTTGCCAGAATTTCGTTTGTTTGGAAATGAGGTTTTACTAACTTTCAAATAAAGCATTTTCAAGCACAGTGTGATGGACAAATTACCCGCCCCCAGTTTCTCTTAGACTAACCCACCCTCTAAATCTGTTTGACATTTCCCCCTTCCAAGTTTGGCATTAATCAATCACTCCTGCATGCAGCGTCTTAATATGTTGAGGAGTAATTGTATAACATCTCCAGATCCCGTCAAACATTTGTTTGGGGCGTGTGTGTGTGTATTATAGTAATTAAGACATAATCACATTCATTGTCTTGAGAGGCGGAGGGTCATTTGGATCTGATTAATTGTAGAGTTTGGTGCCAAAGAAAAGTAAGGTACGAAGGCGCTTGGCCTGTAATCAAACATCTGGGGCTGACGTTTGGTGGTCAGAGGTAGCACGCTTAGAATACGTTTCAAAGTTCATCCTTGGACAGTGCAATAAATACAAAAGTGTGTGTGTGTGTGTGGCGGGTTGGAGGAGAGATTGTATGAGTGAATTTTGAGTAAAGGTGAGGAAGAATGTTGATGTGAAGCAACTTTAGCTGGAGTGAAAACTTTTCCAGTCAGCCTGCTTTGACCCCATATATGGTGTTCAAGTAAAAGTTCAGGGGCTGCCCTTTTGCCGGATCTCACTACAACACACACACACACACACACACACACACACACACACGCTCACACACGATCGCTCACACAGTGTGTGTGGGGGGGTGATGACATTCTCACCTGGACGCACAGCACACAGTAGGTGTGGTGGGGACCCCCTCAGGTGCGACCCCTGGGACGCAGGCGGTGGTCCTCTGTATTATGGGTATTCAGTAGGCACCGGAGCGACTGCGTCACACCTTAACTGGCACTTCCCAGGCTCTTTGGTACAGGCCACCACCCTGACAGGTCATCCGTCAGGTCCTCTGCTCTCTGGTGTCCTGACCCTAGAGTAGAGGTCTCGGGTGGATGCCGCGAGGGGGCTCTGCCCCGGGTGCCCACGCACGGAAGCGCTGGCCCCGCAGGGCTGGCTGGGGCGGTGGAGGCGGCGCCGGAGGCGGGAGTTGGCGGCGGCGGCGTCCCGGGCAGCGGGCCCCGTCCGCGGCCAGCGCGCTCCGCCGTCCTCCCTCGCTTGTCTGCTATGCTCATATTTGGACTCGGCCGCCCGTGCCCAGGAATTTCCCGTCATGCCTCCCGCCGCCCCGTCTGTCGCCCGGAGCCGGGAGGGAGGAGGGATCGGACAGCGGCGGCTCGTCTTCCCCGGAGTGCGCGGCGGACCCTCCCGCGCCCAATCGCGCTCTGCCTGGGTCTCTGCCTAGCTGCGGTCGCGGCCACCACGCCGCGCGGTGAGTCCCCGCCTCGCCCCCTCCGACCCTTCCGAGTCAGCCTGGGACCCGGAGTGTTTTCCCCCACCCCCACCCCCGTCCCGGGAGCGCCCGCGCCGCCCATCAGACTCGAGAGTCATCCCCCTGCCGTAGAGTCCGGGCAGACCCCGGAGACGCGCCTTGCCAACGAGGGACAGCGCAGAACGAGGTCAGGCGGGAGAGCTCGCGCCCCGCCGGCCGCCGCGCTGACACCTTACCCGTCCCCAAGGCGAACCTGAGCCGCCGTCCCCGCGCGGGTCCCCGGGGAGGCTCGGTGGGGTAGCAGGGGGCGTCGGTTGCCACTCCGAGGGCGCGTCCGTCTTCGGGCCTCTCCGCTGCTGCTGCCGGGGGATAACGGGCCGGGGCGTGGGAACCGGGAAGGCGTCGCCAGGCCCGGGGACTGGGGCGCACCCGGGACGGGGCTGGCGGCTCATAGGCCCAAACAGGTACCAGCATAACCCCAGGGAGCAGGTACCGGTTCTGTTTTGTTTTCAAGTGAAAACAAGCATCACAGTCCCCGCTCTCCCCTTTTTTTTTTTCTCTCAAACTTTTCCACTGGGCTATTTCAATTCAAACTATCTGAATAAAAAGTGCTGTTCCTGCCTTTGTAGGTTATGCCATAAGTGTGGTAGTTCTAAAGTGGGAACAATAAAGACTTAAAAGATTTTTCTTGGAATCATATGGAAAGCATTAGGGAGGGGAAAGCATTATTTTTTTCTTTCTTCCTTTTTCCACTGAGTGTCAAAAAAAAAAAACAATTATTTGAAGTACAAAGAGGAGATTTTTTTTTAAGGAAAATATTAAGTTGCAGGGGCTCTTGAATTTGGACAGAGTAAACCAATCAAGGCTTGATTAATTTTGTCTGGCAAGGCAAAACGTTATGATCCTCAGAAACTGGGATTGCGTGGGAGGTGTTAGGTGGTCACTGTGTTGCCTATCGGTAGGGTAGACTGAACTGTCAAAATGAGGTTTGACTAGCCAGGACACGACACACAGGTTAGCTGACAGTTAACTACACCCGGTGCAGCATAAAAAAACAAAGTAGGTTCTAAAGGTACTTGAATGTGTAAAATGTTACCCAGGAAAGATTCTCAGGGTCATAGAGTTTATCAAGTGGTTTCTCAGAACCAATGACACATAGTTAAATGTACACCATGTGCAGTTTGTGAGGGCTCACATTAGCCATGGGGGCAGTTTTATGTTTGTTCCAGAACATTGTTCTTCAGAAAGGACCCACCTTTAAATAGACTCATCATCCTGGAGCTGCTTTGTAACACTCCTTGGGAATCAAGAGATTCTGACTAAATAGTTTATCAATGGATTTCTAAAACCTGCTGGGCTGGATGAGAAGGAACAGATTGTACTGAAAGGGAGTATATGAATGATGGTGTGTGTGTGTGTGTGATAAGTGGACTTACTTGATGTTTGTGGTCAAGCAGCCTTTGAAGACCGAAATCAACTGTGCCAGGGCCTCTTGCCAGTGAGTTCAAACACCAAGTTTATATTTGGACTATTTAAACATAGTTCTAAAAATTTGTTCCTACCTGATAGTCGAGTTTCTGATGCTTTTAATAGTTTCCCTATGTGGACGTCTGGGATTTTTCATATTAAACCCAGTAGCTCTTTGCCATTTGGATTGTTGTCACAGTGCCTGAACGGCCTGTCTGCCAAGGTCGCAGCACACAGTGTCATTTAGATTTCGAATCAAAGCACCGTTTCAACTTTTAAAGTTACTTGTTCCAATGGTTCGGCTAAAATGTCGAAACTATCAGGCCAGAAGTCCTTGTTCTTCCACTCTGGTGATAAGAACGTCTAACAGCCAGCGTGGTAGGACACCCTTTCATCCCGGCACACAGAGACAGAGGCCTGCAGATTTCTATGAGTCTGAGGTCAGTCTCCTTTAGAGAGCAAGTTCCAGGCCAGCTGCGGTTTGGCTGTCAGACTGTCAGAAGGAAAAATAAAGTCTAAAAACTATCCCAAACTAGAATCCATCAGTTTTTCTGGTGTATTTTTTCACTTAATAAGGAAACTTAGAGTTTTTTTTAAGCCATCAGAAAACAAAGTTAGTAAATGCTTTGGAGTTCCATCATAATCTAGTCAGAGCCCTTTTATATTTTAATCATATATATAAATATGTATGTACATATATATACATGTGTATGTATATGTACATATATATGTATATGTGTGTGTGTGTGTGTGTGTGTGTGTGTGTGTGCACGTGCGTGTATGTGTCTGGGGATTTGGTCGAATTTGGTTCCAAAATTTAGCTGCTTATTCTGTAAATGCCTTCCAATGGCAGGATTCTCTAGTACAGCTTCTGTTTGCATAACCCTGAAGAGCCACCCACTTCATTCCTTCGGACATCTGAGTGTCAGTCTTCGACTTGCCCCACGTGTTAAACTGGTCTCCACATAGTTGGGTCCGATGGGCGTGGCTTCAGCTTTGGGGAGCCGTCTGCCTCAGGATCTTCTCACAGAAGGTACATACCCAATCGGGGCTTGTTTAAAACTCAGTCGTGTACTTTCAGAGAGTGCTGCTCTGTCACTGGCAAATGTCTGCCTGCCCTCTGTAGGTAAACTGAAGCCTCTGACACCGCCTGATAACTTGGTTTTGGTTTTTGGGTCTGGGGAGATATCATCAGAGTTCACTCAGGGACTTCCTGCCCCTCAAAGCCTGTGGTAGTTACCTGAGGAACCTTCCAAACAAAACCCCCTCAAGTGACACACTGCTTTATAATCCTGCCTCTGGGAAGACTCAGTTCAGCCTGCCCGGTTAACTTGCCTTTGGATAGGCTCACAAACAACCATAGAATTGTTGCTTCATTAGAATTTCTTATGGCTGACATGGATCTCATGACTTTACCCTGATTGCCCTGTGTCTCCTCTTTCTTGGGCCTAATTCATTCTTGTAAAATGCTCACTATGGCCCTTGATCACTGTTAGTGTATTCCGTTGCCCGACAGTCTGACATTTTCTTTTGAGACCTTTAAGAGAATATAGGAAATAAAACCTAGGGGCAGCTATGAGTCAGCTGACTTTGTGGAAAGTTTTTCATTACTACTTGTTTGAAGAAACGGAAATAAACCTGAAGTAGGAATAAACCAAAACTAGGAGTTTTGAGCTTTTAGTCTAAAGGAAGGAAGGGGCAAGGGAACGCACTAGAAGACCGTTGGAAGCCAAGCGCAGATGGACCGTGTTAGGGCCCAGGGTTATGATCGATAACGAAAGGCTGGAACGTTCTATGTCTCTAGTCTTTGCCTTCATACGCTTCCCTTGTCTCTGGCTGTTTTTGTTCGTGTTCTTGGGTCCTTTGTTGTTTGCAGTCACACTCTGTAGCTCAGCAGTTCTCACTGTGTCCCTTGATCCCACGCACAAAGCAGATTGAATGTCCCTCCAAGGAGGAACCTGATAACACACAGTGTGGGTCACACGGTTGGTCTAGATTTTCCCCCAAAGTCATTTTGACTTCTAGTATCACGTAGAGAGCCTGCTGAGTCAGCCTTTTCCTGTGTTAAGATTTTGGGGGCATTTAGTCTTCACGCTGCATAATTTCTTCTTGATTGCACTGTAGGTAGAAGTGGTGACGTCACCTGCGAGCACTAGACCTCGTGTGGCTCCTTCAGCAGGAGTGCGTGTCACACTCAGGAATTATCGAGTTGTGAAAATCCTGGGCTAACCGTCAATCCTTTCTGTAGGCCGTCGCCTGCATGCTTTCAGGAATTCGCTGACTGAAGTGTTGAGTCCAAGTAGCTCTCCCCTGTAAACTCATGAAGAGTGTGTAAATGACAGAGTCATTCAAAATAGAAAGAATTTAGGTTCATGAGGTTTGGCTCACAATCTGGGCCTTTTCTTTCTATCGTGGTTGATATGGCCTCTTTCGAGACCCTGTAAGCCTTCCGTATCTAATAGTGTGTGTAACTTCTTTTAGCTTCCCCAAAACCCTGTGCCACCCAGCACCATATGCGCTCACTGCGTGGGAGGCTAGTGGTTCGCTTATAATTCTGAGAAGGCTCTTAGCACTCCAACAGGGCCACAGCCATGTCATTTTCTGAATTTCCACATTCTGAAATCCTCACGCCCACTGCCTCCTCCCTCCTTGACACTGGAGCACAGGTGCACTGCCCTTTCTTTTCTTTTGGTGTTTTTGTTTTGTTTTGTTTTGTTTTGTTTTGTTTTGTTTTGTTTTGTTTTTTCGAGACAGGGTTTCTCTGTATAGCCCTGGCTGTCCTGGAACTCACTCTGTAGACCAGGCTGGCCTTGAACTCAGAAATCCGCCTGACTCTGCCTCCCAAGTGCTGGGATTAAAGGCATGCGCCACCACCGCCCGGTGCACTGCCCTTTCTTAATTATTATTTCATAGATTTTTAAAAATAAGCTTTTCCATGAACACTCGAATTTCCTGTGTGAAGATCGAATATGTAAAAGACAGGAAGTTTTCCTATCAACTGAAGTGGCACAGGAGGGGAGGGGAGGGGAGGGGAGGGGAGGGAACGGCCTTGCTTGAGCACATGATACTTTATGTCAGACAAGGGAAATGCAGGAGGCCCGGAACAGATACAAACAGAACTGTGAAGACAGAGAGGTGGAGGATTCCACTGGGCTCCGAGCAGGTAAGACCCTTAATGCTAAAGGCCCAGAGTTTTGGACTGACCTCATTAGCTATGAAATTGGAGTTTCTTGATCCCTGGAATGTCGCAACTAGAGTTGAGTTGCAGGGGGTATTTCTAACAGCTCACAGGATGAGTGGAGTTGGCAAAGAAAGCATTGGGTTGCCGGGCGGTGGTGGCGCACGCCTTTAATCCCAGCACTTGGGAGGCAGAGGCAGGTGGATTTCTGAGTTCGAGGCCAGCCTGGTCTACAGAGTGAGATCCAGGACAGCCAGGGGAACACAGAGAAACCCTGTCTCGAAAAACGAAAAAAAAAGCATTGGGTGACTGACTAGGAAACAGTTTGAGAGGGTTTTTGTTTGTTTGTTTTTAA